TGAAGCAGTAAATTGGACCGTGCATGTTTTGAATCGGAGTCCAACTTTAGCTATTAAGAATAAAACTTCGAAAGAAGCTTGGAGTGGATTTAAGCCTTCAATTGAGTATTTTAGAGTTTTGGGGTGTATTTCTCTTGTTCATGTATCAAATAGTAGAAGAAAAAAGCTGGATGATAAGAGTTTAACTTGTGTCTTCCTAGGGGTAAGTGAGGAATCAAAGGCTTATCGACCTTATGATCATGTTTCACAAAGGATTATAATAAGTCCAGATGCCATATTTGAAGAAAACAAAAGTTGAGAATGCGACGAGAAGCATAAAGAAGAAGTAATGTGTGATTTGGAATTGGAAGATCACGAAAAAGAGACGAATGAGATTAATGACAGTAGAGATGAACGTGATATTGATGCAAATCTAGAAGAGGAAGCCTCTAGTTCTTTAGAGGAAACAAGCTTATCTAGTTCAAAAGAAAAGAGGAGTAGAAAGTGTTAGGATCGCACAACAACGCGCACACACTTGATCTAGATGAACACAAAGAAATAGGAGAGAGAAAATGCAAGAAGAACTCTAGCTAAAGGATTTGTATTGATGAGTATGTATAAGAGAGAATACAAAGAGTAGAAGTTACATTTTCAAAGCTCTACTGGAGGGGTATATATATGGTTCAGTTTATTGTATATAGCTTTAACAGATTTAACCATCTACTATATATAGCTATTTACCATATATAGCTTTACCGGATATAGCTTTACCGGATATAACCGTTGACCAAGCTATAAATAAGAGAGCAGGTTCCATAACCTAACAATTCTCCCACTTGGAGACAGAAACAGTCAACCAAGAATTTCATACTCAAACGATCACTACACCATACCAATTAAGGCTTTGCATAATCTTAATTTTCCAACATCAACACATTTTGTCAACATGTCTGCTGGATTCTTTGCACCCTCTATCTTCTCCAAACACATATCACCTTCTTCCACTGACCTGCGAGTGAAATGGTATCGCCTTCTAATGTGTTTTGTCCTTGAATGATAGATTGGGGTTTTCACCAGCTATATGGCACTCTGACAATCTGTATAAAGAATCTTCTTGCACTACTTCATGCCTAATTCTTCTAGATAGTCTGTCATCCATATCATCTCCTTTATAGCTTCAGCTATTGCCACGTACTCAGCTTTAGTAGATGAAAGAGAGACGCATTTCTGAAGCTTGGACATCCAACTCACTGCTGTTCCATCTATAGTGTAGATATATCCAGATGTGCTCTTGCTAGAGTCTACATCTTCACTAAGATCAACATCCACAGAACCTTGCAGAACTAGCAGAACTACTTTGCCATTGCCATAACAAAGTGAAGTATTGGATGTACCTCTCAGATATCTCAGAAGCCACTTCACAGCTTCCCAATGTTCTTTCCCTGGATTTGTCATGTACTTGCTAACAACTCCCACTGCATGTGTTATATCAGGTCTAGTGCAGACCATAGCATATATAAAACTCCCAACTGTAGAAGCGTACGAAACTGATGCCATGTGCTCACGTTCCTCAACTGTCTTGGGAGATTGCCCCTTTGACAATTTAATACGATTTTCTAAGGGGGTAGTCCAGGGTTTAGCATCATTCATCTTGAATTTGGACAACACCTTCTCAATGTACTGCTCTTGGGATAGATTTAGTGTGCCAGCAAATCTATCTCGAGAAATCCTCATCCCAAGAATCTGCTTCGCTGCACCCAAATCTTTCATCTCAAATACTGAAGACAGGCTTGCCTTCAGGTGGTTTATCTCCTTCATACTTGATCCAGCAATCAGTATATCATCCACATACAGGAGTAGAAACACATAAGAATCAGTGTATTTCTTGAGATAACAACACTGATCCTTTTCGTTTTTACATGCACTTTCTCAAGGTGCAAATTCTCCGATGCAACAATACTCAGAAGAATTCGGATAGTAGTTAATTTCACAACCAGAGAAAAGATCTCAGCATAATCAATGCCTTTTCTTTGTGAATATCCTTTAACTACCAACCGAGCCTTAAACCTCCTTCTGCCATCTGGTTCAGCCTTGATTCTGAACACCCATTTGTTCAACAGAGCTCTCTTTCCTGTAGGTAACTCAGTCAGCACCCACGTATTATTCTTTTCAAGTGAGCTCATCCCATCATCCATGGCTTGCTCCCACTTGGTTGAATCTTCCACTTGTAGGGCCCAATCAAAGGACTCTAGTTCTCCTTCGTCAGTCAGCAATAGATAGTGTAATGAGGGTGAATATCTATCTGGTGCTCTGATAGTTCTGGATGATTTCCTCAACACCTGCTCAGGTGTAACTTCCTCCACGACTGGTTCTTCAGCAACACGATCAGGAGTTTCTTGAGCTCCTGTTGTAACATCACCGCTTGAATTTTTCTGCCACTCAAGCTCAACTCCCACTTGCATTGTAGTGTCAGAGTTTATCTTCTCTTTGTCCTTGTACAGGACATTTTCATCAAAGGTCACATCGCAGTGTCTTAGAATTTTCCTATTCTTGTCATCCCAGAACTTGTACTCGAACATGTCAGAGCCATAGCCTATGAAGTAGCATTTCACAGCCTTAGCCTATGAAGTAGCATTTCACAGCCTTAGCATCAAGCTTATCTCTCTTCTCTGGATCAACATGAACATATGCAGTACAGCCTAAAGTTCTCAAGTGAGAGTACTTGAGTTCTTTTCCTGTCCATACTTCTTCGGGCAATTTGAACTTCAAGGGTACTGACGGCCCTCTATTAATCAAATATGCTGCTGTATTCACAGCATCAGCCCAGAATGTCTTCGGTAGTCCAGAATGAATCCTCATGTTTCTTGCGAGCTCATTCAATGTTCTGTTCATCCTTTCTGCAATACCATTTTGTCTTGCCTTACCGGGAATTGTTCTTATTAATCTAATTCCCTCAGCTGCACAAAATGTTTTAAACTCTTATTTGTTGTACTCTCCTCCATTGTCAGACCTCAGGCATTTGATCTTCAAGCCGGTCTGATTTTCAACTTCATCTTTCCACTTCTTGAAGGTGGCAAACACATCCGACTTGTGTTTCAGAAAGTAAACCCATACCTTCCTGCTGAAGTCATCGATGAAAGTGACGTAGTACCTTGATCCATCAAGTGATGAAACTGGAGATGGTCCCCAGACGTCTGTATGGACCATTTCCAACTGCACTTTCTTCGGTTCTCTGGCAGCCTTTGTGAAACTAACTCGTTTCTGTTTACCCATAACACAGCTCTCACAGAGACCCATATCAACAGATTTTAAGCCTTCTAAAGCTTCTTTCGCAGTCAGCATCTTCATTCATTTTACGCTCATATGTCCAAGTCTATTGTGCCATAGACTTGAATTGGAAGCACTCTCAGCAGCAGCAGTGACGTTTACACATTCTGCAGTAGTGTATAGGGTTCCGGATTTTGTGCCACGTGCAACAACCATGGCACCCTTCACAATCTTTCACGAACTCTTTTCAAACTCTGCTGCATAGTCTGTGCTATCCAACTGACCAATAGAGATCGGGTTCTTCTAGAGACCAGGAATGTATCTGACATCTTGTAATGTCCACTGATTTCCTGCTGGAGTTTGTATGGAGACATCTCCCTTCCCTTCAATCTCCAAAGTTTTGTTGTCGGCAAGATACACCTTTCCGAAATTTCCTGATTTGAAATTTCGAAACAATTCCTTACTTGGAGACGAATGGAACGATGCACCTGAATCCAAAATCCAAGATTCAACTGGGCTATCCACACTAAAGATTAGAGCGTCCTCAGTATCTTCTGTTGTATATATAGAATCATCCTCATCTTCAGATTTATGATTATGCTTCTTCTTCAATTTTGTACAATCTGTCCAAAAGTGTTCTTTTCCTCCACAGCTCCAACACGTTACGTTGGGTTTGTTCGGAGATTTTCCCCGATTCTTTGATTTTGATCGCCCATGTTTGTTTGAGCTCTTTGATTTACTTCTTCCCCTTCGATCAACATTGAGAGCGTTGCCTGATCAATCTCCAGTTTCCTGTTTGCGAATACTTTTGCTAAGAACTACATCTCGAATTTCATCAAACTTCAGTTTATCAGATCCTTGGGAACTGCTGATTGCGGCAACAACAGTATCCCATGACTCAGGTAAAGATGACATCAAAATCAATGCTTTATTTTCATCTTCGAAATTAATTTCCATCGAACCCAATTGACCTACGATCATATTGAATTCATTTATATGATCAGCAACAGATCCATCTTTAGACATCTGTAGATTGAACAATCTCCGCATCAAATACACCTTGTTCATAGCCGACGGTTTTTCATACATATTTTACAGCGCCTTCAACAGATCTAATGTTGTCTTCTCCTTGATAATGTTGAATGCCACGTTTCTGGATAGCGTCAACCGGATCAGCCCTAAGGCTTGTCGATCCTTGAGCTTCCACTATTTCGTTGTCATGGTATCCGGCTTCACCCCCAACAGGGGTTCATGAAGATCTTTCTGGTACAGATAATCTTCAATCTACATCTTCCAGAAACCGAAATCGGATCCATTGAACTCTCAATTCCAATCTTTGAACTTTCCATCTTCACAGATCGTGGTGAATTTGACCGGCTCTGATACCAGTTGTTAGGATCGCACAACAACGCACACACTTGATCTAGATGAACACAAAGAAATAGGAGAGAGAAAATGCAAGGAGAACTCTGGCTAAAGAATTTGTATTGACGAGTATGTATAAGAGAGAATACAAAGAATAAAAAGTACATTTTCAAAGCTCTACCGGAGGGAATATATATATGGTTCAGTTTACTGTACATAGCTTTACCAGATTTAACCATCTACTATATATAGCTTTACCGGATATAACCGTTGACCAAACTATAAATAAGAGAGCAGGCTCATAACCTATCAGGAAGGGACCGATTTGGATGCAAGACTATGAAACACGAGAAGGACTCTTATAAGAGGAGAATGCAACTCAATTAGCCATGCTCACATTTGCAGGTGATCCCACTCGATTTGAAGATGCTGTAAAGAGTGAGAAATGGAGAAAAGCCATGGATGTAGAAATAGAAGCAATTAGCAGAAACGATACTTGGAAATCGATAGAATTACCCGAAAATGGAAAGATTATTGGAGTGAAATGGGCTTACAAGACCAAATTTAATGAAAATGGAGAAATAGACCAGCACAAGACAAGGTTAGTGGTGAAGGGATATTCTCAGCAACAAGGTGTAGATTATACTAAAGTATTTGCTCCCTGCGGCAAGAATGGAAGCAAATCGTTTGGTGGTGGCACTTGCAGCTCAAAGAGGACGGTTCATGTATCAATTAAATGTAAAGTCTCCATTTTTATCTAGTGAGCTTAATGAAGAAGTGTTTGTTTCTCAACCGTGTGGTTATGTGCAAAAAGGAAATGATCAAAGTGTTTATAAGTTAAAAAAGACGCTTTGTGAACTTAAGCAAGCTCTGCGTGCTTGGTACAGTCGTATAGAAGCTCATTTCATGAAGGAAGGTTTTGAAAAACGTGATTATGAATACACTCATCAAGGCTGGAGAAGATGGTAAGATTTTGATTGTAAGTTTGTACCGTTGATGATCTCATTTTTATCGAAAATGTTAATGTTCTGGTTTCTGAATTTAAGAAGTGTATGAAACATGAGTTTGGTATGACTGATCTTGGCAAAATGAGATATTTTTTTGGGTCTTGAAGTACTACATAAGGAGGTGTTGCAAAGGTTTGGAATGATGAAAAGCAATTTGGCTCAGAATCCAATTGTTCCAGACTGCAAACAACTAAAGGACGGAGAAGATGTTAAAGTAGACCGAACTCATTTTAAACAAATTGTTGAATAGTTTTATGTATCTAACAGCCACTCGACTAGATGTGATGTTTGTAGTAGGACTTATCAGCAGATATATGGAAACTCCTACTAATCTTCATCTACAAGCAGTGCTAAGATATTTAAAATGCACCCTTGATTTTGGAATTTTCTAGAAGGGAAGAAATAGTGACCTTATCTCTAAGAATAGAAGTAAGTGAGAAGTAGACTCTATTTATAGTTTATTTTTGTTTTGATGTATATGACTATTTAATAGCGTGGTATTTTCAAATTCAATATAGAATTCTTCCTAAACTTGTCCATGCTATTATTTTCTTAATTTCATCAAAACTTGAATTCTTGTTTTTAGTCCATTTCATTCAAAAATTGAGATTTTAATTAGCTTTAGGAGATTGAGTAGCACATTTGGATGAAGGAGTCGAGGGTTACCTCGTCCTATTCTGCGTTTTTGGATAAACTACAGACCGTTAAAGAAACTCAAAAATTGGCTTCAACATAGGAATTAGTCCTTCCAAAATAAATTCTTAAGCTCAAGGGAAGTATAAGGAAGAACTTTTGTGAGGAAATTTTTGCTTGAATGTTTTCTGATGACTCGATCAATAATGAGTTTATGTGGCCTCAAGCCATAAGTTAAGGACTAAATAACACGAGGACGATTATAAGAATAAGTCGAAGAATGAAAACTTATGAAAGCCCGTGGTCACCTTCTCAATCATGAGTAAAGCCCGTGGTCACTTGCTCAGTCATGAGTAAAGTCCGTGGTCACCTACTCAGTCATGGATGCGATGAGTAAAGCCCGTATTTTCTTTTATAATTATATTCCGAGTTTATAATATTTTGAACAACACCATGTTATAATTGGATTAAATTTTATATTTAACTTTGGCAAGTACAAAACCCATTATGTTGATGATGTGGTCAATGAAAAAAATGAGTTTGTTGATATTTGGGTAACCCCAAATGATGCTTTGTCTTAAGCTTTGTCTTGACCGTTAAAAGAACTTAAAAGTTTGAATTCTCTATGAAGCTAAGACATACCCACACTAGTTGATCCCACATTGGAAAAATTAGTATTAAGCACCATGTTTATAATTAGCATTGAAATCCTTCACATTCGCCGAGCTTGTTAGTGTGAGCTTGTGTCCTCCCAAATAAATTCTAGCTTGCCCATTCCAAGGAGGGAGTTGGGCTTTGGGGTTTGGGCGAAGGCCTTTAGTCCACTGCCACTAGAGTTTGGGGGACACTGCGTGAGGCTGGTTTCACAGAACAACGTCACTTCCCGCTTCCTTCAATGGAAGGATGACAGGCTGGTTCTAGAGTGGCCCAACAAAGCTCAATGGATGGCTCTCACCTCAACGATCATTTTTTTTATAACATTAATTTTTATTTTCATGGCCTAGCGATACTTTCATCTATACATAGAGCTAACTAGTAATTAGTCCCACGATTCGGGTCAGAAAATGCAATCACATGCCATTGTGTTTGATGATGTGACCTATCTTCTTGTAATTGTTCTTTGGACTTTACATTCCTTTCTAGGTAGGGTTGGATGCTTAGTGGTTCTCTATACATGGTTCACGCATGCACACGTGAACCTACTAGGTGGGCTCGTATACGGAGGCTGGTTGCCTGACTATGACTAGTGCACACTTATATTACTAGAAACTAATAGAAAGAAAGGAATGTGTTTAATATCATTGTGTACGTACACGTCTGTACAAAACATATTGGGGAAGTATCATGTGCTCATGAGACAAAACATGCTTGAGGAACTATAATTTCAATTCATAATACATGATTATGATGCAAATCATACTTTAATGCATTTCATGACATAAACTCATCTACGAGACATGCATACTTATACATGTGATCATTCCCATCGAATTCTTGTTCTAGATTTGTGATTTGGGGAATTAAGAAAATGCTAATACTGAAACAAATCACATTTTCTGCAGTGTCCTTATGCACATAACCCACCATATCTGGAAATTTATCTATTGGATCTCCCTAAAAATTATGTATGATTTAGAGCATCATACATAGCCATATCCAACGGTGAAAATCGAAAGCTAAAGTCGGCCCCTGATTGTAGATGATTTTTTCGACGATAAACATAAAAGGATCAAATATGAAATCATGACAATTTTGGACGTTTCAGAGGCATTTGATCCTTCCTCTATAAATTATGAGGTATGATGGGTGCTTGATAGGAGCAATAAGCAAACAAAATTGAGACTTCAATTGCGAGTAATAAGCCTTTTGTTTCTAGGTTTTTGGTTCTTAGAATTCTTTCAAATTTAGGAAATGTAGTTCACCAACCCTCTTTCAATTTTTTCATACACATTCTAAATCAAATTTCCCAAAACTTTGGTAAAGAACCTGATCGGTTGAAGTTTACCTATCATATATGCCAAATTCCAATTGTCATTTAAAAGTTTGAAGAAGAACTAGAAGATCTAATTTGAGGATACACACAAATGTGTTATGTATGGCCTATACAATTTAGTTTTTGCATTCTGAATAACTATGGAAGGAAACAGCTTTTAGGTAAGTTTTGTAGGGTAAAACTTGAATTCTTATTTTTAGTCCATTTCATTCGAAATTGAGATTTCAATTAGCTTTAGCGGATTGTGTAGTAAATTTGGATGAAGGAGTCGAGGGTTACCTCGTCCAAGATCGAGTTGCCAAACAGAATCGAGTTCTACGTTTTTGGTAAACTAGAGAACGTTAAAGGAACTGCAAAATTGGCTTTAACAAAGGAATTTGTCCTTCCAAAGTAAATTCTTAAGCGTAAGGGAAGTATAAGGAAGAACTTTCGTGAGGAAATTGTTGCTTGAATGTTTCCCAATCGACCGGATCAATAATGAGTTCTTATAAACTCAAACCATACGTTAAGGACTAAATGACACAAAGACAATTATAAGAATAAGGTGAAGAATGAAAACCTATGAAAGGGCCCTTAAGAAACTTAAACGAACATAACTAAGGAACAGTGCCCCAAGGCAAGGTAAGAGTAGTGAACTTTGAGAACGAAAATTTTAAAATAGGTGAGAATTTGCCAGACTCCACAATTAAGATACCTGAACAAAGATAAGATGTTTAAGGAATGTTTACAAAATGAACAAAGATAAGATGTCTAAGGAATGGTTCACAATATTTCCGCTAAATGGATGAAGAGTTTATTACCTTCATAAATGACTTCAGATTATAATTAAGGCACGTTTTGGGTATAAGCAAGATTTATAGGAAATGACGAAACTACTCCTAGAGACCCTTGATAAGGACTCATAATTTTCTAGAACATCAAACGTGTTACGGCTTTTATGATGTTATGTACGACTTATGCATGTTATTATAAATTGTTCGTGACCTGTCAACTTAAATTAGGGCTTACAAATTAATGATAAGACTGATGTTATGAATGTCTTAAGAATAACCTTTGGAAAAAGAACCCAAGAAAGCTCTCTAAGAACCAGAATCACTCCAGAAAAGCACAACACTAATAATTCTCTTGTTGTACAAATTTTTTATATTATCAATTTATTTAGTTTTTTTTATATGACTTTATTATAGCTGAGTGAAAATGCGACGGATTTGTGCTCTATGGGATTCGAACCGAACCGTGCCTTCTAGTTGAGGCAACCATTCACCTAGCGACTCATGGCAGCTTTTAGGTGCAATTACCTCTCCCCCACAACTGCGTGACAATTGTGTGTGGAAGGTTCTCTTCGTGCGTGCAATTCGTGCGTGCAAGGTCATTTGTGGACCGTTCAGCCTCGATTTGGTTGTTTTTCATCTTGATTTTGATATTGGCCCTAATTTTGTTTCATTTAAGACCTATGAGATTTCAAAAAGTTTGGGGCTCCTAACACGCACAAAACTTAGCTTGGGAAGACACGAATCATTCATATAAGTAACTCCACGGACTTTAGGCAAGGAATAGACGCGTCATTCATATAAACAACTCCACGAACTTTAGGCATGGAATAATTGTAGGCATGGCTAGGACGTGTTAGTATGTGAGAATTTCTTATCTTAGGTGGTTAGAAAATGCTTTTTAAGGACTTCGGAAGGGTATTTTTGGATGAGTATGTACTGCAGGTATGTTTACCAAAAGTTACTGTAATTCCCCTAAGTTGGGACTTCTTAGAACCATGCTATTTTTTGTATTATGTGAGGCTTGAAAGGGAATATGCATGACTAGAACAGGTTGAGATTTTTATTATGTGTTGTATGCCTGAGGTAAGAAATTATAAAAATGCTCTTATGATGATATTTGTGATGAATGATATTTGATTCTTTTAGTTGTGTTAGAAATGAGGATAGACTATTGTGAGCTACGCTTCGGGTGATTGATGAATGTTATCTCTCCGCTGAGCTTCTTTGCTTGTATGTGTGCATGATACAGTATATGCTAGCTCCAAGTGTTTGACTGTGTGTCCTCCATATAGAGCGTGCTTATCTGCACAGAGCTACGGTGTTACAGTTAGGTTTGCTGAAGGATGATCTAGGTTAGGATGTCATCATTAGATTGAACGCCTTATGATCGTGAGCTTCTGTCAGAGGGTCTAGACCTTAGTTCTTTTAGACTAAGAAAGACTCAAAGAATCATAACATAGAAGCATGGAGTCGAAAGTCCAAGTTAATCCACCTAGTCTCCTAATGAATCCAATAGACCTCCTTGGTTCCCAGATATGATTAAGGTAAAGTTTGAATTGTTGATTACGTGTTTAGTTGATCGATAGGAATAACTACCTAGTAAAGCATGCATGGCAGGGAAAAGTTAAGATTAGGGTGATACAAGTAGTGCAGTTTACATGTTGACCTAGGTCAGTACGTTTCAAGTAGACCTTGCACCTCACGATTGTAAGACATCAGAGGTTTAGATCTGTCTACACCTAGAGATTGCTTTGACTCGAGGAACTAACTTCGAACGTCCTAGAAATGAGAGATGATATTTAAACTACCTAGGCACCCCTAAGAATGAAGTAACCCTCCATGGCATCAAGAAATGACAAAGGTAGTCTCCTAGGCTGACAGCAGCTAGTATAGTGTCTGAAGATCGCCACCTTCCTTTCCACTCAGGTACAGTACTGTTGAGTTAGTCGTGAGTCTGGTTAGGGATTTGTGACTCAGTGGTTTGATGGATTACCTTGTATGATTGATCCATCCTATTGTAGGGCGTTTATCATGTGGGATAGGTTCACAAACTAGCCTCTCATAGATGACGAGCAAGCTAGCACTCGCCTTCTTGTCCCTACCTGGTACAATGTCTACGTCGGTAGTGCCCCATCTTTGGATATCGGTTACTGTTGTGTAGGCTAAGCTAGCTAGCCAAGACTTTGCACAACAAGAGAAATATACCTAGAGCCTAGAGTAAAGCCCGTAGTTACCTATTCAGTCATGTATGCGATGAGTAAAGCCTGTATTTTCTTTTATAATTGTATTACCGGTTTGTAATATTTTGAACAAACTCATCTTATAATTAAATTAAATTTTATATTTTATTATGTTGTTGACGACTTTAATTTGTTTTTATTTATTAGATAGGCATTTGAAGTAGTCTAGCAATATTTAAATACTTAACACTTCATTTTTATCTAAGATTTAAGATGTCACAAAAATCATAATGAAACACGTTAGGTTGATTATGTGGTCAATGAAAAATAGGTTTGTTTATCTTTGGGTACCCCGAATGATGTTTTGTCTTAAGCTTTGTCTGAACGCTTAAAAGAAGTTAAAAGTTTGTATTTTCTCGGAAACTAAAACACCAAATTTAAATGAAATCTAAACCGTTAAAAGAGTTATATTTCATGGTATGTCTCAAAAAAGAAAAGTACCCACATTGGAAAAATTAGTATTAAGCACCTTGTTTATAATTAGCATTGAAATCCTTCACATTCGCTGAGCTTGTTAGTGTGAGCTTGTGACCCGAATGGGGTCGATGAGATGGTTGAAGACTGAGGTTGTTCACTGAGTAAGGTCCTCCAAGATAAATTCTAGTCTGCCCATTTTAAAGAGGGAGTAGGCCAGAGTTGGGGGACACTGCATGAGGCTGGTTTCACAGAACAACGTCACCCCCTGCTTCCTTTGGTGGAAGGATGACAGGCTAGTTCTTCGGTGGCCCAACAAAAAACTTAGTAGATGGCTCTAACCCTCAACAATCATTTTTTACCACGCGCATTTGAACCTACTAGGTGGGCTTGCATACGTACCTCCTACCATGGGCCAGTGCACATTTACGTTACCCAAAAAATAACTACTTCTTTTAAAGTTTCAAAGGAAATATAATAGTCCTCTACTAACTTAAGGGCTACATTCCTTTCTAAGTAGGGTTGGATGCATAGTATTTATCTATACATGGTTCACGCACACATGAACCTACTAGGTGGACTTGTATACATACTTCCTAGGCTTAATTACGGGCTAGTGCACACCTACGTTACCAGAAACTAATAGAAAGAAAGGAATGTGAAGTTAATACGCCATTTAATAATTTCAGGATTTTCAAGTGATGTAATGTAACAACCTAAATTTCTACTAACCTAAAATTGCTATCGTCATCATAACCTATGTTCTTAAGTGGAATAAAATACAACTATCTTATGCATGTGTCATGGTCTTAACTTGTCATGTCGTCGTTAGTTATATAGGGTGCTTGATTATTTTAAGAAATACTTAGTGAGTGACTGCATACTGGGGTAAGGGAATACAAACACTTGCAACTTATGATTAGGGACCTATCGTTAAACTATCATAGCGATGGTCTCCAGTCTAGACAAAATTGAATGTGTAGTACTTCCCTACATAGCGTGGATCCACAAGAGGTTCACACCCCCCTAGACCTACCATAGTCAAGCTAGCTATCTGTAGCGACGTCTAGAGGTCAGCAGACCCCTAAGTGTCATGTGAGGCATGATGATGATGATGATCATCATCATCATAGTGTACACGTTCGTACTCATCATCATAAATGGGGAAGTAACCCGATGTATATGTACACACAAAATGCATAAAGTCCCTAGAGTTTTCATCTTTAAATCAATCTTTATGACACAACCCTATACCTGTCCACATATTGCTATAAGTAGCATGCATGGATTGGATTTCATACGGTCATCTTCATTAACATTAACTAGGGTTGTGTCTTAGAAAAATCATCGTCATAATGCATCATGACATTTAATACATGCACATAATCTTAATATGGAATAACGTCATATTAAGTCATTATATCATCATACATCTTACATCATCATGTTATCATGCGTTGTCATTATCGTGTCATCATCTCACATCATCACATTATCATACATCTTACACCATCATGTTATCATGCGTCGTCATCATCATCATGTTATCATATCATATCATCATATAACGTCATGACATCATGACATCATCACATTACATTATCACATCATCATACAACATCATTATATCATCATATAACATAAATCATAAATGACACATGCAATGGTCATTGGGTATGCGTTGTCATACATAAGACAAGTCTTCCGACTGAGCCGATAGTAAGGCCACTTACTTGGTTGACCTTAACTAAAGTTCTATCTAGCTCCAAATTTACTTCCTTTCATTTTTCAAATTCATTTATCACCCATTCCAATTCTTTTAATAAAAATCTATTTACTCTGTATTTCTTTTAATTCTGTTCACAATTACTCTTACCGTTATTTCTATTTACTTTGTATTTCTTTTAATTCGGTTCACATAAAAACAAAATTAGAATAAAAAGAATACTCTAGAATGACAATAGAGTACAATAAGTGGTTGCTAAATTCTCTTTTTCCTTACCGTGTAGTATACCTGTGCGGTTTATTAATACGGGGTAGAATTAGGCTTCAAGAAGCAAGAACAAGCTAGCACCAAGTATAAATTAGTAACGCTAGCTTAGGCCAACCATGCATGTGGCTTTACTGTTGGCTTGGTTGAACGAATTATATGATATATGATAATACATGCCTCGTGACTCTTACACATGTCATGATTTTGATTGTTATGTTATGTTATGTTATACTATTTTGTGTTGTACTGAGTCGTGTTATAAGATATGTTATAATGTGATTATGTCATGTTGTATAACCATGTTTATGATATTGATGTTCTCTATGATATTAAGTGGGCATTTTCCCGCCATGGTGTTCGATAGTGTGAGCGTGCGCTAGCCGATGACTCAAACCTAGGGGTATGTAAACAAGCAATCATGGTGGATCCATGCGCGCATGCGTGGACTATGTGTAGGGAAATTCTACACATCTAACATTGTTTGGATGAGAAAGTTGTAACTGCCCAGATCCACCTAGCAGATATTGTCTTCTTTGGGCTTTCCCTTTCGGCCTTTCCCTCAAGGCTTTAAAACGGGTCTGCTAGGGAAAGGTGTTACACCCTTATAAAGGGTGTTTCGTTCTCCTCCCCAACCAATGTGGGATATCACAATCCACCCCCCTTTAGGGCTCAACGTCCTTGCTGGCACTCGTTCCTTTCTCCAATCAATGGTGGGACCCCCACCGAATCCACCCCCTTCGGGACCCATCGTTCTTATTGGCACACCGTCTCGTGTCTACCCCCTTCGAGGAACAACCTCCTCGCTGGCACATGGTCTAGTGTCTGCTTTGATACCATTTATAATGGCCCAGATCCACCGCTAGTAGATATTATCCTATTTGGGCTTTCCCTTTCGGACTATGAAATGGTATACTAGGGAAAAGTTTCACACCCTTATAAAAGGTTCTCCTCCCCAACCAATGTGAGATATCACAGAAAGCAGAGCCCAAGACCATGCCATGGTATTTTTATGAAAGAAAAAGTAACACCATATTGCATGTGGTTACATTTTTTCGATCCCAATAACGGGGATACTTATTGAGTATTACTTAAAATACTCAAACCACGTGCTTTTCAGGTAAAAGTAAGACACCTCTGTATAGATGACGACATTTAATAAAGGTCATAGAACAATAGTTAGGATAGTCATATTCATGCTTGTTTAATAACCCTCTAGTTATATTAGGACTTGTTTTATTTTATTTAAATTCATATAATTTAATTTCCACACCTTATTTCGTAACTAACAATTTTTTATGAAATATTTTCACAGTTTTTTCACATATACTAAACATGTCAGGTACGTACGACGTCTCTATTTTAATAGAAAAATATGGACGTTACTTTTATATTGATAAATAAAATCTCATAAATCTCAAATATTAAACATTAACAAATAATAATGCATTGCTCGTATGAGTTACAAAAAAATCAAATATTATTTATCTTTATAATAATTTTAAAAATAAAGTTAAATTGTAATTTCATTTTCGGAGTGTTTCACGTTGATTCCACGTGAAAATATTATTATGATTTCTATAGAAGGGAGAAAAAAATGAAAAATCAGTAGAAACCTCCCGTCTCCGGTGTGGGTAATCTTCCAGTTCGCAGGTGTTCGACGAAAAATTGATTCAGAAAGTTGCGATCCGAATGGTGATCTCCGGCTCTAGATTTGGAAGGAGGCGTTGGATCGGGCCGAGAACATGGCGAAATCGATTCCCCTTCAGAATCTCTTCCCGACGAATCTTTCGTCTCACAATCCTATGCCTCGCTTTGATCGCAATTCTACCTCCCATTTTCTTCCATTTCAAGCTCAAGCGCTTTCAGCAGGTAATCTTTCTCCTAATCTGATCTCTACTATGTAATTCAATTCCAAAATCACATGATTGTGTTTGTTCTCTGTATAGATGCAACAAGGGAAGTGCAAATGGATGAATGATCCTCCACTTGTGTGTGCTCATGGAGGCGACTCATCCAAGGCCTTTCCGAACACTGTACGATTCCTCTATTCGCTTTAGGTACCGAATCATCTCTGATCGATCTTTATTGGTTATGATCTTCTCCACTACTTCCTACAGATGGATGCATATAGCTTAGCGCTTCGTTCTCAAGCCAACTGCATTGAAGTTGATGTTTCTCGCTCTTCAGATGGAGTCTTATTTGCACTTCATGACAGGTATGTAAAACAAGTGTGTACAACACATGTATATTCACAGGCAACAACCATCACCGTTTCCAATTGTATCTAAATCAATTAAGAAGGCCAGGGCATGCCAATTTTCTTCTCCTGCAATGTAATCAAGATTAAATAATCAAGATGATTCTAATATTAGGTTGTAAGGTGTATTCAGTGGGGTTGGTGATATGGACTGGGATTGTTATGGAACCAGCGGTCTTTAGATATTAAATGGCTAAATACCATTTACTCTGTTCTTTTATCATAATTGACATTTTTTATTCTCATATTACGAAACTTTTGATGATATTTGGAGGCTTGATTATCACCTGATAGGCAGGGACTTGCAGAGGATAACTGGATCAAATATTTCTCAAGTTGGAAATTTTAGCATGAAAGAGGTGAGTTTAGATTCTGCATCTTGATATCTGTATTAAACAACTCTCTAATTGAGGTGGATGGGGAGTTTGCTTTATTATGAATTTCCCCAGTTCATGTATATAAATATATTTACCAACACCCATTATAGACTTGCAAATAAGACTCTGTAGTCTCCATTGAATTGTTTCTTGGGTTGGCAGATACCAGTAGCTGTTAGGGAGGATTGGATGAGAAGGGAATTAGGTTGATTCGTTAAATTATTTTATTATGTAATAAAGGCTTGTTGTGTTCCATCTCAGAGAGAAGTGAGTCTTGATTAAAAGTTCTTCTTTCTTTATGTTCCATCACAGAGCAATTTACAGTGTTGGTTGAGCTCATTGCTCAAGTTTAGTCCCTAAAGTGTACTTGGCTTTGTGTAGACGAGACTTGATCATTTAGATTTATCTAGATTAGCCTCCTTTTTCTTTTCTACCATGTTGCACAGTTTGGACCCCAATATTCCTTGTTGCTTTCGAATGTGTGCTTACATTTTCAATTAAGAACCAATAACCATTTGTTAATGCTCCGAGGATATTGTTTTCCATTTAGTGTAATACTAAATCCTTAGGCACTACATTGATTACTGATGCCATTTCGTTCAGAAGAGGTTTATTTGTGCTTATCACACTAAATGCTTTTCTTTTTATTATGTATACAAAAAAATGAAAAAATTTTCTATTTTATAAATGACTTATTAAAAACAAAATTGAAAGGTTGAGGACTAAGTATATATTTTTAAATAGCAGAACTTATTAGATGCAAGATTTAAAGTTTAAGGACCTATTACACGGTTTTTAAAGTTCAAGATCCTATTAGACACAAGTCTCAAAGTTCAAGGACTAAACTTGTAATTAAATTCAAATATAAATATAGTAATACATAATTACATAAAATGATATTTATTTTATTTCACATTCTTGAGTTTGTATTCAACAAATTTTTTTTTTCTTCAATGTCCATTTTTTCTTTCAAGAAATAACAGAGAACAAAAGACTTTCTGGTTAAAAGTAATAAAACAATGTGAATGATTGCCTTATCCTCATTGACACGCAAAAGGTGACAAAGAGCAACTAAAAGTCAACTTAGGCAATTGCATGAGTGTAGGGACTCTCCAGTCTCCATCGACAATCATATGGTTGCCTTTTGTCATGCTAGTTATAGTTATATTGGTTGCAATTAGTTATAGGCTTGTAATGGTTACTTGTATAAATTATAAAAGAATAGTAGGGAAAAGTGAGTCGATTATTGGAAGAGGTCTCTCTAACAATAGCCTGGTTTTGCACTATGCTAATAATAGCTTGTCAAAATTACGTAATAGCCTTGCTTCACTATGCTAATAAAAACTCATCAATATTACTTATGCGTAAAAAGGCAGGAATTTTTTCCTCTTGGAGCTATGGGATTCAATACATTGGCTGTAAACCTGTTACTTTCTAACGTAAATCCCTACTTCATCATCTTGTTTCCTGGCCCCTGGGAGTCTGGGTACCCAGTAGAAACAAGGAGGCAGTCAGACTTGGTCTTTATCTCTGGGGTGGCATTCTCTTTTGCATCTTTTTGCATGCCACAGAATCTGTTTCTCATTTCTGCTACACTGCTATAGAGACAGCTCTTATGAGATGCTCGACAGACTCCCTGTGTTCCTGTTTCTGGCAAACCATACAAGCAATAAGTCGAAATGGTGTTGATTAATGCCTGTTAGAGATATTTTGTAAGAGATTTGTTCAGAAAAGAGCATTTCCCTAGAGTCCACTAAAAAGGATATATAGGAGCTAATTTATTTCTATTTCTTCCTCTAGGAGCTCTCTATCATGATTTTTCTGATTATAGTCTTTCTTGATTTTTCCTCAATGGCAGAGGGCTGACTCCTTTGACTTGTTTGTTAGTGGCTCCTTTATAATTTATTCTTCTATGAAATATTTTTTTATCCTCAATTTCTATATATGGATATTTCTTTTCTTTTCTTTTTTTTTTTTTTTTTTTTTTTTTTTTTTTTTTTTTTTTTTTTTTTTTTTTTTTTTTTTTTTTTTTTTTTTTTTTNTTTTTTTTTTTTTTTTTTTTTTTTTTTTTTCTCTTTGTAACATTATTCTGTAGTTTGCGGTTATAGATAAAAAATCTTGGAGCTTTTTATCAACACACTAATAAATTGCTGGATTTCAACATACCTACAATTGAAGAAGCTTTAGTGGTAAGCTTTAGTATATATGCTCTCTTAGAATGAATTCATTATATACCATTTAATGCCTATCTGATCCTTCTTGCCAAAATCCAGTCTGATTTCTAGTTTATTCTTTGGAAGACTCGGCATTTTCAGTTGACCATCATTCCCTTGTATTTGTGCAGTTAATATCAAAATCAGTTAAGCAGGTGATTCTAGATGCAAAGATTGGACCACCGTCATATGAAAATGGGCTTGCAAAGGACATCATTTCTGTTGTGAGTTTTCTCTTCGTTCTCCTTTGTCTGCACAATTTTCTACTAACGAAGACATTATCTAAACATGTTAATCTAAGTTCTTGTTTTATGGAGTATTTGTAAAATATAAGGTTGTTCTAGTTGTGGCTGTGTTATAGAATAGTTCTAGGGGGGGGGGGGGNGGGGGGGGGGGGGGGGGGGGGGGGGGGGGGGGGGGGGGGGGGGGGGGGGGGGGGGGGGGGGGGGGGGGGGGGGGGGGGGGGTTTCAGTTTATGTTGGAACTGGGGTTGTAGCTTGGATGAGAGATGGGATGATAGTGCCCGTGGCATTAGTGAGGCACTGAACTTCCACCCGAAGACGAGACTATTTTATGTGTTAAAGCCTATTCATGTTTCATCAAACACTGGAGAGGTGTTTTGTATGGTTTTTGTGGGGCCATTTCAAGGCGGTTTCATTCTTGCTAGCAGAAATGGTGAGTGGTGGAGAGGTGTTTTGTATGGTTTTTTTTCTCTCCCTAGTTGTAATTAATGAGGATGTGCTAGAAAAGTAGCCTTCATCATCCCTAGTGTGATGTGCACATTCCGACTGGTAATAAATGAGTGGGGAGGCTCCAAGTATCTCAAATACTAAGAGAATTGCATTGTAATTCTGTTGTGTTTTATGTTTCAATCTATTTGGGTTCTACTACATTTGTTCACACAATTATAAGGTAAGGAGAGAGGGCAAAAGGATAGAGATTGAAATGGAGAGTGATGTTCGGGAAGTAGCATTTAAAATAATAATAAAATATCAAGAAGGAAGACGAGTCGATCTAAAGGGCACCCCGTACAACTGCATGTCTCCGCACACTCCTACTATCAATAGTGGTCTACACTCCATCTAAAAAAAATAGAGTAACATGGAATGAGTATAAAAATACTCAGTACACAACATATTTGTAGGCTTTTGTCAGACTTAATCCTATACAAGGAAACTTAGGCTATGTGTTCATAACTATCCCTAGCGATAGCCAGACTATGGCTTAACATCTGTATCAAATTGTGTAGGTCATTGTGTAACTAGCCCTTAGCATACCTCGTTTAAGGAGTACTCAATCTCTCTTAGGTTCATAACCTAGAGGTTTTCTATTTTTTCTTGGCTCTAGGTTTCACGTATGTCTAGGTCCTTCGTTAGTCTTGCGCAAAGTGTGCCTTGAATCGCTGTGGCCCATAGAAAGGCTCAAGGGTAATACTCATAAGTCTAGAGGAGCCTGTTTGCTCTAAGACGATGATTGTACTCCATGCATGTCTACCTACAGAGCTCTAATTGGTGGGTTCCCCCTTGTGGTGTCAGGCAACATCTACATGTTCCTAAGATCAGTATACTACCTGTCACTATAACAGTAAAACTACCTGCTTATGTACCCTCCTCGGGTTAGAACAGTAAAACTACCTGTCTTAGGAACAATAACTACTAGTTACTTCACCTTTTCAGGGTAGAACAGTAAACTACATGCTTATGTACCCTCCTCGGGTTAGAACAGTAAAACTACCTGTCTTAGGAACAATAACTACTAGTTACTTCACCTTTTCAGGGTAGAATAGTAAACTACCTGTCACTACACCACTCGGGCTAGATAGTAAAAAAGGCCATGCCTCTCCCCACTAGGCACCACCGATAAAACTTCAATAGTAAACCCTTATGACTCCTGAAACCCTCTATGAGTGACAGCTAAACCATGTGTAACAAGTAGGTCATAACCCCTGTGGGTTAGTTCGTGCATAGAGACGTCAAATCCTGGTGCATCCCTCATAGAAGATGATAGTATAGACGAATAAAAAAGGAGGAAACAAACAAGTGTGGCCATCAAATTTGACTTGGAAAAAAGCCTTCAACAAGGCCAATTGGACTTCCTAAAAAAAACATTTTTGTAGGCAAAGACTTTAGCTCAAAATGGCGAGTGAGGATAAAAAGTTGCATTTCATTCACAAACTTCTCCTTCATCATTAATGGAAGACAGAGGGAATATCTATGCTACTCGGGGTCTTCGACAAGGGAACCCACTATCACCTTTTTTTCATAATGATAATTGATTGCCTTAGTCGCTTACTCACCAAGTAGAATAGGAAGGGCTTTCAAGTTGGTAACAAAGGTTTAAGTATCAACAAGTTTGCGAATGACACAATCATCTTTTTTAAATTGTTAGATGTCTTATCTATAAAAAAAAAAAAGAACAAGATAGTGAAGATCTTCGAAAGATTCTCAGGACAAAACATCAACCTTCAAAAAATACAGAGATAATGGGCATTAATAGCACAAAGGATATTGAACATTTTGCCCACAAATACACTTGTAAAAAGGGTGCATGACCGAATATGCACTTAGGATTGCCCTTAAATGGGAACCCCAAATCCTTCTTTTTTGGAAGACTATTATTGAAAAAATAGAAAGAATGATATCAACGTGTTCATCATGTTACCTTTCCAAAGGTAGAATGCTCACCCTAATATAAGCCACTTTGTCCAACCTTTCCACTTAATACATGTCTCTATTTGAGATGCATCAAATAGTGGATACGGAAATAGAAATATTATTCATAAACTATATGTGGAAAGATGACCTACACCTTATTCAATGGAATACCGTAAGCCTCCCTATAGATAAGGGAGGACTCAGCCTTTTTCTTTTTCTTTTTTTTTTTTTTTTTTTTTTTTGAAGGATAAGAATAGAGGTCTCCTCGCCAAATAGGTATGGAGATATTACCACAAAGACACACTGCATTGTGGAGAAATCTTATAAATACTAAATTTAATCCTTCATCATGGACAAATCGACCCTTTCCCCCTCCACGCAGAAGCCATGGAAGTATATAAAAAAGCACAAAAACCTCATCACGTACCGCATTCTCCATAGGATGGGTGATGGAGAAAGCACACCTTTTTGGACTGACCCTTGGATTGACAACGGTATCCTCTTTTGTATTGACTCTCACAATGCAAAACTGTATTGACTCTCACAATGCAAAACTGCCATGGTTAAAGAAACATGGAAAGACATAAACAAATTCTAGGACTTGAAACTCTGTAGGAACCTAAATGAAGTTAAGGAATGAGCCAAATTAAGCCTTGACCTTATCCCAATGGTACTGTCTCAAGAAGTAAACTCATTGAAATGACTACCTAGCTTTGACGGGTCTTCACAAAATCTTGGTTGATGGATATGGGAGAAAAGGTAGAAGCAATAAGCCCCACACTAGCAAAGACAATATGGAAAGGAGATGGTGCATAAAGTCATTAGCTCTTGTGACAACCTAAGAAAAAAAAAAAAAAAAAGAAAAAAAAGAATGCTCTACTTGACTCTATTTCCAAATCGGTGCCATTATGCAAGAAAGATAGCTAGCGAATCACATAACAATCTATTTATGCAGTGGATATATACTTCTGGTTTATGAACAAAAATTCTTAATATTTTCGAATGATATCTTACTTTTCATAGGGATGGAAAGGAGTTATTGAACATGACCTTAATGTACCATCCATTCAAGAATACAAAACTTCGGCTATGAATAAACCTCATTATGGTTTTCTTTTGGAATCTATGAGAAAAAAAAATCAATGAGTATACAGAGAGAGAATATGTAGACTTATGTGACTCTTTGAAAAACTAATTTTGCCCAAATTTTAGGTTTTTCCGTTGAAGATTGAGTTTTGGAAGTTGATAGTTAAAATGTCTTTAAGCCGAGTTTCTCCCCACCAAAATCAAACTAAATTCAATTTCCGCAAGTCAGCACGTTAGTCAATGAAAATTTAAGAGACTTAAACACAATAAGTGTAAGTATTTAAGACCTATCAGCTGCTCATAAATGAAAATAAAAAAGGTAGAGGGCCGCTTGTCCTGTCTCATTGGTTAGAAGCGTTAAGATGAGTTTTATATATGTATATGTATATAATACACACACACACACATACATTGGGAGTGGTAGGAATTAGCAGCATAGGGTTCTTCTGGAGGCATTATTATTATGTGCAATGTCCATTCTCTACCTGTTCAAGATGTGGTACATGAGTCCTTTTTTATTTCTATTCAGTTTTTCAATTAAGACTGCTCAACCTTAAAGCTCTATGACCCTTCAAAGTACAGGTACAGGGGAACAAATGGCTTTTGGGTCGATTAAGTTTTTTTTTTTGTTTAGTCCTTGTGGGCTGTTTTGGTGCTTGCATTGAGAGACTTATAGAAAATTTATTGTGCGAAGGTGTAAGTGAGAGGGTGGTTCTCAATGAGTCAATTGGGGAGTTGGCGTCCAGATTATGTGAAGAGGGGACTGGGAATTTTCAGGCAAGAATATGTCCTTGTTTCCAAATAATCGCAACAGCTTTTTCTAGAGCCTTTACTTTTATGTAATCTATTTATTCCCGATTACCAACAACTGAATACTTTCTTTTAATTTTTCTTCTTTCTGAGTAGTCTCATTTGTTGGCATTGTTATTGTATCTCTCTAGCCTTATTCAAGTGTGCAAAGTTATTGTTTTGAGGCAAACTGCCTTGTTTTCCTTCTCATTTGTTTGATTTCGGCTCATGGAATTTCTTCATATTTGTAGCCTAATGTTCATGGAAAAATTTCAGGTCGAGAAGACACAATGTAAGAATTGTCTTGTGTGGGCGAAGAGCGATAGCTTAGTGAGGGACATAATCAAATTATCATCGGATATGAAGGTGAGTGAAAACTGGGCTTAGTATTCAACTACTCAAGTTATTTTGACTTGCCATTATTTAACTTAGTGGATAGTTTACTTTTCCGAGTGCTAATATTGCATAGATTTGTTTGGCTAAACCTCTTCTACATTCAGTTCACATCATCAAAAGACATTGACTTGATGTAATTTGTGTTTATTTTAACGATCTACTCCTAAATTCTTGTCACTGTGCTGTGTTATTAAAGTTTATTAAGCAAGCTCGGCAGCCCGGCAGCCCGCATTATTTATTTTGTGTTCATGCAGCTGGATTTTTATGTCCTTGAATCTTTTAATTGTGCCTGGGTATTTTTCAATGTCAAACATAGATTTTCCGTTATTAACCGTTCATTTGTAAGCAGTGGATTTGACTTTTTAACTGTCAGAGAATCGAAAGTTTGCACGTTTCATATAACGCATATGTTTTACGTGCAGGTGGGGTATATCGTAATGATGGACCCATCTACAGGTGAAAGAACGAACTTGCTGAGAATGAAAGGAGCCAAGGTGGTTGGTGCCTATCATCCATTGATTGATGAAGACCTTATGCGAATGATGCACAGGTATAGCTTCCATTTGATGCAGAAGTTAGAGGTTTGAATCACACCGTTTATTGTTATTAAACTCGGAAAACAAAAAAGTTTGGAAGGCAGCCAATGGGCTTGCATTGTAGAATCAAGTTGACATGTTTTGATCAACAGGAGAGATAAAAAGGTGTATGCATGGACAGTTGATGATGTTGATTCGATGAAAAGAATGTTAGTCGAGGGAGTAGATGCTGTCGTTACGAGCAACCCGACACTACTCGGAAGTGTAATGCAAGATATCAGAACTACATGCCTTGAGAATGGTTTTTCACTTCCATCAAGATAATGAAAGTACTTCAACATTCCAACTCCTACACAAGCTATTCTTTCGTTCTTTTTCCCTTTCATTTCCCATTGTTCCTCTTATCTTCTGTGGAAGATATTGATTTGTTTCTAAATAGTTCCTCGTTGATGCGTTGCATACTCTCTGATAATCTTTGATTATTCAGATATACAACATTATATATCTCATAATAAGAATAAGAACACAAATTTGAAATTTAAGATTTGTTTACCATTAGTTTCTCTTCAACAGACATGCCTACTGAAGGATTAGTATGTAATTTGGACATCAAGAATCTATGGGTGGTCGTGTTCAAATTCTTCAAAAAGAACCACTTCGAGCATAATAGCTTAATGGATAAGGAACTGTATTACTTTTTCAAATTGGTTGGAGAAGGGAACAAAACATTCTTTTTATAGGAGTGTGAACAGACATGTTAATATCTGCTTTGGCTGTTACAAATGGTATAGAGCCAGTCATTGGTGGGCTTGGACGGTTACAAATGGTATTAGAGGCAAAAGACAGTCACATTGGCCCCCAAGAAGGGTGGATTGTGAGATTCAAAGATGGACCACACCTAAAATCGGGTGGAAGCTAACTTTGGTTGATTAATTCGATCAGTTCATAGATGGTCTTAATGATGAGCCTACACGTATTTCGTGTGTATCTTACTGGTGGATTTAAAAAACCTCGTGAATTGACTTGGGTTATAGGTGTGGTTTTGGCTGTATGGACCATATCCTTTGGTGTAACTGGTTATTTGGTGATTCGGTAGTAATTTGGCCACTTTGGCCTTATTTGGCTATTTTTGTAGTAATAGGACCAACAGTTTGGCCACCTGAGGAGCAATTGTTCATCGACATTATGGAGAAATCCTTTACGAAGGAGATACCTTAGTTACATTTATATATGAAAAATCACGATCTAGCAATATAATGCAGGGTCTTCCAAAAGTGGAACAAATATTAGAAGTGCGTTCAATTGATTCATTAGTTACATTTATATATGAAAAATCACGATCTAGCGATATAATGCAGGGTCTTCCAAAAGTGGAACAAATATTAGAAGTGCGTTCAATTGATTCATTAGTTAGAGAACGGCCCAAGGAGGGTGGATTGTGAGATCCTACATTAGTCGGGGACCAAAACAAAATTCTTTATAAGAATATGGACAATATCTGCTAGCAATGAGTTTGGGTTGTTACGATGGTCAAATCATTTGCCTCATAATAATATATTACGATGGTCGAATCTATGTATACATTTTAAATTATGGAAAGGTAATATTGTTTTCGGGACATGAGATCGTGGAATGAAAGACTATTTGTAAAAATACTAGGATGGAGATATGGACAGATAAGGTAGGAGAAACATGTCTCAAATATATTCCAAAGAGGTGCTTTTTTTTTAATAACAAGGAGTTGCAGTTGAAGTTTTATATTTCATAACGAAAAATAAAAAAAAGTAATTAAAAATATCCAATAATAAATATTATTATTTTATCAACATCCTATTACGTATGGGTGTCAGTCTCACGGTTTTAAAATGTGTCTTTTAGGGAGATGTTTCGACGCCCTTATAAGGAACGTTTTGTTCCCTCTCCAACTGACGTAGGATCTCAAAATCCATCTTGTTAGGGGGTCTAACGTCCTCGTTGACACATCGTCTCGGTGTCTAACTCTAATACCATTTGTAACAGCTCAAGCCTACCGCTAACAGATATTTGTCATCTTTGGCCTACTACGTATCGTCGTCTAGTTAGAGACTTTCACACCCTTATAAGGAATGATTCGTTCCCTCTACAACTGATATGGGATCTCACAATCCACCCCATTAGAGGTCCAACGTCCTCACTGACACATTGTCCTAGTGTCTAGCTTTGATACCATTTGTAATAGTTTAAGCCCACCGCTAACAAATATTGTCCTCTTTAGCCCATTACGTATAGTCGTCAACCTCACATTTTTAAAATGGATCTATTAGGGAGAGGTTTCCACACCGTTGTAAAGAATACTTCGTTCTCATCTCCAACCAATGTAGGATCTGATCGCATTTATACTATTGTATCTAAACATCCATGTCTATCTCAATTCAAACATTATAGAATGATATACTAACATATTTTCATCCATTTTTTTATTGTATTGATTTGAAATATCTATAATATCTCGTGGGGTATGTGAAAAACCACATGTATCGATTTCGATATAAAAGATGAGATATTTCAATTTAGCTATCATTTGCTCAAAGTGACAAATTCCTCCATTTCCATTGAACTTCCTAGAAATATTTAAACCATTTCCATATTTCTATTTCATTTGGGAAACCCTCTCAAACAAATGATGTTTATCTTCAATGCCTTAGGTTTTCATTATAATATTACACGGAGACGAGGAAAATCGTATACTTAAACCCTCTCTTCCTTCACTCGCTCTGCATTCCAAGGTTCTTTCCTCATTGCTACTTCTTCTACTGATTTTGTTCTTATTTGGGTTCGCTTAGTTTCATCTAATTGTTATCTCTCTCGTTGAAATCCTTGAATTCGTCCAGATTCGCCCCTGTTTTCATTTGGGAGTTTTGATAAGTTATTTTCTGAGATGAATTGCTATTCGCCCTTGTTTTGATTTGGGGTTTTGATATCTTTAATTTACTTTCTGAGATGAACTGCTATTCGCCCCTGTTTTCATTTGGGGTTTTGATATCTTTAATTTACTTTCTGAGATGAACTGCTATTCGCCCCTGTTTTCATTTGGGGTTTTGATATCTTTTTAAGTTATTTTCTGAGATGAACTGGTATTCGCCCTTGTTTTCATTTGAGGTTTTGATATCTTTAATTTACTTTCTGAGATGAACTGCTACTCGCCCCTGTTTTCATTTGCGGTTTTGATATCTGCAAGTTATTTTCTGAGATGAACTGCTATTCCCTCAATTGTTCTTGCTTTTTTTTCTTGATTTTGCTGTTGGATCTGTTAACTACATTGTAATCTGGATCTGGGTATTGCTTATTCGTGTTAATTTAGCTGAATTTCTCTGTTCTTGCTTCGATTTTTTCACAAAAACTGCAAATTATATCTGGGTTTTTTTAAGATCTAGCAGATTAAGGAGGAGGGGTTTTGTGAAAATGGGTTATGATCATTTGGATCAATCTCCAGAACTGAAACTCTATCAGTTTTTTGTGTTCTGTGTTCCAATTCTTTTCACTTTCATTCTTCTATTCCTTTTCTATCTTCTTTATCTTCGTCGACGAAGGGCGGATTGGAATTCTATTCGAATGCGAACATCTGATGCAGTGAACAACAATAACATATCTGCTGTATGAACTTCTCTTTGTGTGTGTTGTTTGGTTTGTTTTTGATTATTAATGATTTTGAACTTTCTTTGTTGTTGTGGTTGAGCAGTGTGATGTTGGGTTGACGAAGGAATTCAGGGAGATGCTTCCTATTATTGTGTACAATGAAACATTCTTTGTTACTGATACGCTGTGAGTGGATTTTTTTTCTCTTATGTTTGTTTGATGTATTTTGGTGAATGTTTGTACTCTAAGGGCATTTCTATAGGTACCATTAGCGGATTTTTGTTCGTGTTTTAGGGATGTTTTGAAGAGCTATCTTTTGTTTCGGGTATCTTGATATTTCCATAGGAAATAGTTTTGGGACGTGATATTTGAAGAAAAAGAGGTGATGTGTGAGATCTCTCATGGTGTGGAAACCTCTCTTTAGTAGACGCGTTTTAAGAACCTTGAGGGGAAGTCCGAAAGGGAAAGTCCAAAGAGGATAATATCTGTTAGCGGTGGGCTTGAGTTGTTACAAATGGTATCAGAGCCAGATACTGGGCGATGTATTAACGAGGAGGTTGAGCCTTGAAGGGGGTGGACACGAGGTAGTGTGTCAGTAAGGACGTTGGGCCCCTAAGGGGGTGGATTGGGGAGTCCCACATTGATTAGAGAAGGGAACGAGTGTTAGTGAGGACGCTGGGCCCTTGATCCCACATCGGTTGGGGAGGAGAATGAAACATCTTTTATAAGGGCGTGGAAATGTTTCCCTAGTAGACTCATTTTAAAATTTTTTAGGGAAATCCCAAAAAAGACAATATCGGTTAGTGGTGGACTTGGGTTGCAAATGGTATTAGAGTCAAACATCAGGCGATGTGCCAACAAGAAGGCTGAGCCCCGAAAGGGGGTGGACATGAGGCGGTGTGCCAGCAAGGACGTTGGGTCCCAAAGGGGGGTGGATTGGGGAGTCTCACATTGATTAGAGAAGGGAACGAGTGCTAACAAGGACGCTAAGCCCCAAATCCCACATCGGTTGGGGAGGAGAGCGAAACATCCTTTATAACGGTGTGGAAACTTCTCCCTAGCAGACACGTTTTAAAAACCTTGAGGGGAAACTTGAAAGGGAAAGCTCAAAAAAGACAATATCTACTACCGGTGGGCTTGGGTTGTTACATTATGACACTGTATACAAGAACTTCAAACCGAAACTCTAACGGGGTTGTTTATAGCACTAGACAAGTAAATTGAGTTACGGTCAATAGTTTTTGACAAACCCCAAAAATTGTTGCATACTCTGCCAATTTTCGGTTCATTTTATGTTGCGTTTCATGGGAGACTTTTTGTTCCTTTGTTAGGGTAGCTCTCATAAGCTACTATTTCCTCGATATGAATTTCGAAGAAAAAGAGCGGGTGACAATGTGTGAACTTCAAACCGAATTAGGCTCTGGATACTAAACCATACACGTCAAAATCATCAAATTTGACTATTCCTCACGATAGTGTCGAAAAATATCGCTATTTTTTTTCTGTTAATTCTCTCTATTCGGCCTCGTCTTGAGAGAGCAATCCTTATGTGTTTGTTGTTTGTGGCAGATGTTCAGTCTGTTTAGGGGAATACCAAACAGAAGATAAGCTTCAGAAGATACCATCATGTGGGCATGTATTTCACCTTGACTGCATTGATCATTGGCTATCCAACCACAGCACCTGCCCACTCTGCCGTCTCTCCGTCCTTTCTCCGTCGTCCCGACCACCGCACATACAGATTGAGATGGGACTCGAATCGACAAATGAGCAACGTCGCTAAGAAGCACCTCCTCAACATAGTAATCAAGCTTGTCAACATACAACACTTCCCGTGTGAGGTCATAATTCGAGTTTTCAATGGGAAAGAATCATTCAAAAAGGGATGCAACTTTGGATAATAATTCATCAAGAGAAGACGATCCGAGGGATCGGGAACTATCAATGCCACCGACCCGCATTTTAGCACAGGGATATAGTTTATGTAACATTCCAAGACTGGTCTATGAGGACCATGGCCTTTCAAAGTACATTGTTCTATCTCCCAACAGATCGCCCGTTCAGACTCACTGCTAATAGATATTGGCCTCTTTGAGTTTTCTCTTTCGGGCTTTCTTTCAAGGTTTTTAAAATGTGTATGCTAGAAAGAGGTTTTCACACCCTTATAAAAAATGCTTTATTCTTTTCCCTAATTGATGTGGGATCTCGTAGCACCAAAATTTTGTTCATGAGCATAATCTATGAGAAACAAGAAGCTGTCTTTACTTGTTATCTTTTGAGGCATATTTGGTAATTGGATTCAAGCTAGCTAATGTAGCTCGTGGACTTTCCCGTCTCACAACAAAAAGGTGAAGGATTTTCTCTTTGTTACATGAACCGAGACAACATTTGAATGAGAGCGGTCTTGAGAATAAAATCGTTAAGAAAAACTTAAAGAATTCAAAGTTATTACTTATACTAACTTGATTCATCTTCCTTTTCGGTAGCTCAATCATACGGACTCAAAGTTAAACATGTTTTGCTTAGAGCGATTCTTTGTTGGGTGATATCCTAAGAATTTTTTTAAAGAAGGATATGAGTGAGGACAAAGTATGTTGAAAAAACTTGTGTTGGTATGTCGAAATAGTCTCACTTTTAAAAGCGAGGAGTTAGTAACATAATCATGTAACTCGAGAATGTTGGAACATTAAATTCCGAATCTTCATTCAAATACTGGGCATAAATTGTTACCCATTCTCCCGATTTGAGGTTTAAATTAGCATAGACTTGAGGTCTAAAAAGTTCAAAATTATTTTTAAGAGTTATTGAAAATGAAATAAATAGTATGGTAAGTAAAAATGTGTGTGTTTTTTTTTTTAAATTAACAAGACATTATGGTTCATTCTGTTTCACCCAATCTAGTTTTAGGAGAATCCAAACAAACTCAATTTATGAAGTTTTCATTTATTTATAATGGAACCCAAACTATATGAGTTGGAGTGGATTGATCAAATTTTTTGAATCATTGATTTTTTTTTTAATATCACTAATAAAAAAAAATGATGGGGATGAACACGACTCTCCACAATGATATGATATTGTCCACTTTGAGCATAAACTCTCATGACTTTGCTTTAGGCTTCCCTAGAAGGCTTCGTACCAATGGAGAGAGTATTACTTAGATTATAAATCTATGATCATTCCATAAATGAGCAGATGTGAGACTTTCATCATCGAACGATATACCCACACATTTTTAAAAAAAGTGAATAAATTATTAAAGAATTTTGAAGTCATTTCCCTACCTGTCATTTTCCATAGAGTCCAAAAGAGAGTAGAAGAATGGTTGTTTCTCAATCCATAAAGTCCAAAAGAGAGTAGAAGAGTGGTTGCCTACTTATTACAATGTTATGAGAGGATTGGTGGAACTCCTAACGAGTATTAAAGATGTCTATTTAACCGGTAGAATTAGAGTCTCGTAAGAATCTGCTGTTGTCGATTTAGGCCAACAAATAAGTGAACCTACTGTTCGAACGCCTTTGGACTAAGTCAGACGAATTGAGTGTTGTATGAATGATACGTACTATGTGGCTATCTACATATTATTTTATGATGTTGTGATATGTGTTTATGATGATGATGTTATGTGATGCATGTACTTCTAGTATGCTAGTCCATGTATGTTCTGGTACCATGTTTACGCCTATGAGACATTGATGAGCCATGTATGACAATAATGAAATATATGTAGTATACACTTATGCATATTTCAGGGAAGTTATGTCATCAAAATAATAAAAGTATGATATGCATCATAACTATATATCAACGTTTGAAATCACGATATCTCATGCATATTATATGTCACAAGTATAAGAATTTCTCCAATATGTTTTGTACTGACACATACACTATGCTATGATACACGCTCGTTTCTTTTCATTGGTTTCAATAACAAGAGCATGCACTAGCCTATAGTCAAGCTTAGGGGGTACGAATATGAGACTACCTTGTGGGTTTATGTGCTTGTGCGTGAAACGTGTATAGAGAGTACTATGTATCTAACCCTACCTAGAATAGAAAATAGAGCCCAAGTGTTACGACCTGAGTTTCGCGAGTTGCGACTTATTAAAAACTCGAAAACATGAAAAGACACCAACTCCTAATTAAATTTTTTTCTCATTTAAAACAAAACATGAATATATTTTATATACAAATCCAAAATAAAATTTGAATACATTGGACTCATAAACAAAACAACTTAAATCAGTAAGATAATTGAAACACTATGTGGCTTGGTATAACACCTATTCTTGATCCATTTCCATCTTTGATTAGCTCATTATTGTCACCTAAAAAACTAAGAAATAGGGATGAGTACAAAAATTCAATAAGTAGCCTATTTGTAGGCTATTAGTCGTGCCCTTAGGATGTGTTAGGATCCGAAACTCTTTCTTATAACATACCTATTCTTGTCTTGAGAACTTAAGTCTTTAGGTTATGTTCTTGAGTTCTTGTCATGATCTAGCCCAAGGACCTTTGTCCTTAGTTCTAAGTTTTTAACCTTAGTTATGAGGTTCTAGGTCATAGATTTAAGAACTTGAGTCTTGATCCTGGTTCATATTCTTGTCATTGGCCATGGTGGCCCCAACATTCTCTTTAAGTTAGAATCTAGATTCGACCTATAATTGATGGCCCTGGACATCTTCTACGTCCCTTATGACGTGGTCGTGTGATCATGAAGTACCATGGAAGATCTTAGATAGTTTAGAGCAACACTTAGCAATCTAGATATCATTGTAGGATTTGTTAGGTTGAATGACCCTGTGACCTATATGAGTCACAACCTCATGTATTTATAGATGTGTACAATGAAGATTACATGGTGGGCCTTGATCATGGTAACAAAATAGGAAATCAGTAGATTATCTTACTATGTATAGATATGACCTAATCTACGTTTAACACCCCTCCCCCCTCAATCTGGACTATATACTACTAAGTTCAGATTGCGCCTAAAACTACTAAAAGAAGTAGCTAGCAGTGGCTTTGCCATAATATCGACGAGCTGATCTTTGGAAAATATGAGCCGCACATCAAGCTCATGAGGCGATACTGATTCACGAACAAAGTGATAATCAACCTCAACATGCTTTGTCCGTCGATGAAAGATTGGATTGGTGGACAAATAGGTGGCACCAATGTTGTCCCACCACAGGCTAGGCGTTCACGCTTGCGAGATCCTGAGCTCACGCAAGATGTCTTGGATCCAGATTAATTCGACAGTGGCATCAGCAACTGCCTTGTATTCGGCCTCCTTTCTAGAATGAGAAACTGATTGTTTCCTTGAACTCCAGGACAAAAGATTGCCATCAAAGAAGATTGCATAGCCTCCAATGCTTTGACGAGGATTCTTAGCCCAATCAACACCCGAGAAGGCACTATGCAAATCAATGCTGGACTTTGTAAGACACAAGCCCATAACAATAGTGTCATGTAAATAACAGAGAATTCGTTTGACCACCGCCCAATGTACAGAAGTTGGAGAGGACATGAGCTGGCATACTCTGTTGACACATAAGAATTTATCAGGTCATGTCAGAGACAAATATTGGAGAGTACCAACGACACTCCGATAGCGAGTAGTATCCACATGTGAGACCTTTTCACCACCATTTAATAACTTCTCACTAGAAAGCATAGGTGTGGGCACACCTTTGGAGGTGAGCATATTGGTTATGGACAATAAATCTTGAATGTATTTATGTTGTGTCAGAACAAATCCATTGGAAGTATGGCAAACCTCAATCCCAAGAAAATAACTCAAAGTGCCAAGATCCTTGACGGCAAAATCATCTCGAAGCTGTGTAAGAAGTTTCTCAGTAGCCATAAGAAGATGAGCTGATGATAATAATGTCATCAACATAGATGAGAATATACATCTGAATGCTCATCTTGTTAAAAATGAAAGAGAGACATTAGCCTTTGAAGGTGTAAAACTCAGCTGTAATAGTTTGGAGCTAAGGCAAGAAAACCAAGCACGCGGAGCTTGTTTGAGACCATAAAGTGACTTATCCAACTTGCAGGATAACCAGGATGTTGAGAATCCATAAATCTAGGGGGCTACTTCATATAAACATCTTCATTAAGAAAACCACGAAGAAAAACATTTTGAATATCAATCTACCAAGTAGCCCAACCACGAGAAATAGCAAAAGATAATAAGAGCCGAATGATAGTGGGCTTAACAACTGGACTGAAGGTATCATCATAATCAATGGCATACTGCTGTTTAAACCCTTTAGCAACCAGGCATGTTTTGTAGCGATCAATAGAGCCATCAGGCTTTTGCTTGAGTTTGAAAACTCATTTGCAACCAATAACGTTAAGACCAGCACGAGGAAGAACTAAGTGTCATGTCTTATTTTTTAGAAGTGCCTGGAATTCATCATTCATGCCTGACGCCAGAGGGGATGCTCCATAGCATTAATATGTGAAGTAGGTTCAGAGGCAGAAGACCGAACCATAGAATATGTTACTGTTTCATCTGTACGTACCTTGAGTTGCTTGATATTGTACTTCAATTGAGTACCATACGAATGAGTAGTAGGTGCAGGATCCACAACTGAGGGGACAACCGTACCAGCTGTTGCGAGGGGAGCAATCGGTGCTACAGCAGTCGATCGACCAGTGACCGAGGATCTGATCGAGCATTGCACAATATCATCTACTGGCGGAGGATCCGAGGCCCCAATCATTGACAGAAAAACTGATACCAATTCGCGCAGCAGCGACGCAGAGGATTGCTACGACAATCCTGAAGCTGATGTGGGCACCTGATTTTCTGCATCCAAAGAGTTAGCAGACACAGATATATGCATATGAGCATTCTCCAAATTAGTACTGTTGTTACCCAAATGCAAGATGCACA